ATAGAGGCAGAGCCTGGAATATACTGAGATTTGACCACCCCTCCCATATATGAGGTGTTCAACTTAGCTTTTGGCTGCCAGTGAAGATTGAAATGGCTGCTGGGGTCCTGAAGACCAAAACAGTCAATATCTGTGAAAGAAAAGCAGTACTTGATGACCAGATCTGGACTCTGTGTTTAGAAAGGGCTCATCTCTCAGAAGGTCTTTTAAAATGCTAAAATCAATACTCAAGTGATGCCTCTGAACATGTCATGAAACATGGAGGAGAGGCCCTTCCTTTGTCTAGAAGTTTAGAAATGAAGCACTGACTCCTGTTTACTTTTATCTTGGTAAGATCATCTTATGCTCCATTAACTCAGTTTTCCCTTTTTAAAATTGCTGGGGGACATTGTGGCATTTATAAAAGTTCTTGCAGTATATCAAATATATCATACTTGAACTCACCCCCTCCGTCATTCTCATTTATCCTTTCCTCCCCCCATTCCTGGGACGGTTTCAGCAGGTCTCATTTTTCCATTTACATACATGTGCACACAGAATCTGCACCACATTCTCCCTCCTATGCCTTTCCACCAAGGTTAAGTTTTTTCGCTGAATTAACTTTTTAACAGAAATGTTTTAGTGTTATTCACCTGAAGGCCATATAGTAAAAGCAGCCATTGTTTTGGTTTTGGCAGAACTAATGGTTTAAATTGTCCTTCAAGATTATTGCTAATGGATTTAACAGTTTTGCCTACCGTGAGGCCCCATCTCCAAAGTGAAGTTAGACACTTTTTTAGCATATAAATTTAGGGATATTTGTTTCCCTGTTTTCAGTGGCTAGAAGTCATGTGTCCAGTTTATTTAAAGGTTGCACCATCCACCCCTTTTTTGGGGGCTGTTATTGTATGCTGACTATAATATAGTTTAGAATGTGCTAGATATTTTGTGGTGCTCATAGCAGTATTGTGACCTAAATAGGTAGCAGTATTGTCCTCACTTCACACTTAGGAAATGCCAGAGTCTAGACCAAGACTCTTATTAGCTCATTAATTTAGTCCCAGTGGCTCTAGCATAATTGTAAGAAGGGCAAAGCTGTTTTTGTACTTAGTTTTGTGTAATACCTTACTTTTTTTTTTTTTTTTAGCACTTCATGATTTGTAAAGACTCAATTTGATCCTCTTAACAACTCTCTTGGAAAGCAGGGAGGTATTGTGACCTACATTTTTTTAGGTGGAGACTGGGAGTTAGAGAAGTGAGTTGCTCCTTGTCTTGTAGTTATAAGGTAGTGGAACTAAGAGTTAGTCCAGGCCTGTGACTCTTGAGTGAGAGTCATGGCACTTACCATATGCCATGCTGTTAGCTGGCATTTCTTTTGTAAGTGTGGAAAATAAAGGAAATTCTTCTTCCTGAGGAAGGGAACCAGTGGCAACATGGTTTTGGGATGTCAATTTGCTTTCATTAGCTTTTCTGTTTTTTGGCTGTGACAGTGTCAATAGTCACTATAAATGGAGCTGAGTAAAAAGTTTTCCTCATACTTTTTTTTTTTTTTTTTCCAGTACTGAGGACTGAATCTAGGGCCTTGTGCATGCTAGGTAAGCACTTTACTGCTAAATCGCACAAAGTCATACAGGTCAGCCTTGAACTTGCGATCCTCAAGTGTCAGCCTTGAGTAGCTGGAATTACAGGTGTGAACCACTGTGCCCAGCATCCTCAGAACTTTTGTTGTTAGAAGTTTCTTTCTTTCTTTGTTTCTCTCTCCCTCCCTCCCTCTTCCTTTTTTTTTTTTTTTTTTCTTTTCCGGTGATACTGGGGTTTGAAAGCTCTGATTTTCATTGGGCTCTGATTTTCACTGGAGTTTGAAAAAGTTTTGTCCTTGCTAGGCAGGTGCTCTACCACTTAAGCCATGCCTCCAGCCCTTTTTGCTATGGTTCTTTTGGACCTAGGGTTTTTTTTTCCCAGGTTGACCTAGACCATGATCTTCCTATTTTATGCTTTTATGCCTCTAGCCATTGCTGGGATGGTAGGTGCACGCCACCATGCCTAACTTTTTTCCATTGAGATGAGGTCTTGCAAACTTTTTTGCTCAGGCTTGCTTGCGATCCTCCCAAATCAGTCTCCTGTGCAGCTGGGAATGACAGGCATGTGCCACTGTGCCCAGCTATTGCTTGAGAGGGGGTTCTCTCGAACTTTTTCCCCAGGTTGGTCTTGAACTGTGATCCTGGTTCCAGCCTTTCAAGAAGCTAGGATTATAGGAGGGAACCAGTGGCGCTGGATAGGCATATCTTTTGTATTTATCATTCTGGAATTTGGGTTTTGAACTCAGGGCCTTGTGCTTGCTAGTTGGGTACTCTCTTTACCACTTGAGCCATGCCCACAGCCCTTTTTGCTTTTTTAGTTATGTATTGGATAGGATCTTGCTTTTTTGCCTAGGGGATGGGGAAGGGTGGCCTGGACCGCTATTCTCCTATATATGCTTTCCCCATAGCTTGGATCTCAGGCATGCACCACCATGTCTGTCTTGTTTGTTGGGATGGAGTCTTGCTAACTTTTTACCAAGGCTGACTCAAATTTCAAATCCTGATCCTCTTGAGAATCTTTGCCTCCTGAGTAGCCAGTATTATAGGCATGTACCACCATGCCTGACTGTCTGAATTCTTCATTTTCAAACTTCTGTGAAGGTCTGCCAGGAGTAAACAGAAACTGAGGCCTTATGGGTTTGACTGCAGACTAGTTCAGACTTGCAGTGGGAAGGGCTCTGACTTATTTTTCCTGGGTACTTCTGTTACAGGTCTGCTTTAATGACACACTTTTAGTTAATGGCTAACCAGGGATCTCCATGCTTTTTAAAACTTTGAGCTACATTATTGCAAATTCACAAGCGTACAATTGTATGTTTTCTTTTTTGATAATGGTGACAAAAAAGTCTCTTAGGTCTTAAGAACTATAGTAATAAAAAGATTAAAAAATACCCATTTTGCTCAGTTAGGCATACTGGTACGTCTTTTACAGTTTGGTCAGGTATAACTTGTAATAGATTTAATTAGTTTTAGACCTCCGTGGTATAGTTTTTTTAGTCTATTTTAAATTATTGATAGTTTTTGGGAGTAAATATAGTATACATTGCTTCAGTTAACCCAAATATTCCTCACAGCTTGCTGTTTAGAAATTTCTGAGTTGTTGTTTTCTGTTGAGCCAAGTTTAGCTTAGTTTATTCTTCTTAAGCCCATCTGATGAGATACAGTTCATAGCCTGAGGTAATTCATGCTCATCAGAATCAATGACTTTAGCTCGATTTCCTCATTTTTGTTTGGTTGATCTCAGAGAAGATCAGCAGTGAGATTAGTATCACTGTCTTCTTGACCCCATGTTCATTTTGAATGAACTTCATGTCTTGCAATAAATCCCCTGGGCTCGCATGTGCATGTATGAAGTTTTTAGTTTCTGTCAGTAAGGGACTTTGGAAAAAAGTCACCTGTACTTCCATTTCTAGAATAGAGCAAGGGGATTCAAATGGATAGCTCCCTGGGGAAAGCTACATTCACAGGTATTGCTTTTCCCAAGTAAAGTGAATTCAGATATTGAAAATTTCTGTGCAGATTGTATTTTGCACCTCAAAGACATTCTACTCTGCATTAGAAATGTTATATCCGTTATTGTTATTGTCATCATCATTATTTTATTTTTTTCGGTGGCGTTAGGGATTGGAGGTCCTCATGAATGCTACGCAAGCACTCTAACACTGAGCCACATCCTTTAGGCCCAAGGTGCCCTTTATTAGTGATTAAAGAAATGTGTGATTTTGCTTTTTCTAAAAGAATATTTGACATGTTACTGTAATAAACCAGCATGTGGTTATAATGTTAGGAGAATTAGTAAAAATACAAACTCTTTGTTCCCTTTTATAAAATTGATAGGAAGCTGGTCTAGTATGTTGTTTACTTGAGCAAATGTTCTAGTGCTACCTTGCAGTGACATAAATTTTGGAAATTCCAGGGTGGTTTTTGTTTCTTATCCCAAGATAAGAAGTTTGTTTTTGTGTTGGCTAAGGCTGTGAACACATGATTTTTTGGGTAAGGAGTATTATCTTTATTAAATTTGCTATAGCAGTAAAGTTTCTAAATTATAGATACTCTGCTGAAGGCAATAGAAGACTGAAGTTTTATTTGAACGTGGAGGGAGTGGTCAGTCCCCCTTGGTAAATTGTCATTTTTCTCACCCCAAATCTCATCTTTTAGTAGACATTAATCTCATTGTGGGAAGTGCCACTGTTTTTATTTTTAAATAAGAAAAAATTCAGAAAGTTTAAAATCTATGCTTAAATTTTCTACTCATTAAAACCTAGCCCTGTGACTATTGAAAAAATTTAAGCCTCTAGGATTCCATTTGTCATTTATAAAATTGGGAATAATACTCTAACTTACAGGGCTGCCAGAAGGAATAAGCGAAATAATCTTGGACTTTATTATTATTATTATTTTTTGTTTTTCCTTTTTTGGTGCTGGGACCGAACCCAGGGCCTTGTGCATGCTAGGCAAGTGCTCTACCGCTAAGCTACATCCCAGGCCTAATCTTTGTAGTAGAAGCCCAACAAAGTTAATTTTCTTTCCATTTTCAGTTCATTGTTCTTTATGTGGTAGTGTAAAGGCTTTATTTAGTAAACATTATCTTTCTGTTACCTTCACTTTTATGCAAAGGTTATATTTTGCAGTTTTAGGCTTCATACTTTTTAAAAGTGTATGTATCTTTGAGTTGCTTATTTCTTGAGTGATTATCCTCTTAGAAAGTTCTAAGAGGTACTTATTGCCTTTTGCTGGGTTTTTTTTTTTTTTCCCTTCTCCATTTTTTGGTCTAGTTTTACCAGTGACTACTGGATAAACTGTTTTTTTTTTTTTTTTTTTTATCTATTGCTTAGAATCATATATTGACTGATAAAATGTTTTAACTAAAAGCAAACTAGAAGTACCATGACAAATATCTTAAACCTATTTAAGAATGTAACTTTCTCTTTTTTTAAATAGCATGCTCCACACTGTTCAAGACCGTGCCTAATACTGTCCCGTAGTCTCAGTTCGGTGGGATCTGATTCTAAGGAAAAAGTGAGTATTTAATAAATATTCTCAATGGCTACATTGTTATGTTTTATTTATTTTGTTTGTGTTATGCTGGGACTTAAACTCTGGACCTCATGCTTAGCCTTCTAGTACTTGAGCCGCATCCTCAGACCTTTTGCTTTTAATGTTTTTCAGATACGGCTGCCTCAGGCCATCATCCTCCTGTCTCCACCTCCCAAGTAACTGGGATTTCAAGGTGTACCCCATCACACCTGGCTTTTACTTTCTCTCTGTTTTTTAAATTTACATAATCTTTATTGCTCTTTATTATAACAAAAATTATTATGATTTGTAGAATCCATCTAGTAGTGTATGAAATTGAAATCCACTACTCAAGAAGACACCATTAGACTGAATGTATCTGATACTCAGCATATATCATGAGTAAGACAAGTGCTTGCATTTCTTTCTTGCTGGAGTCATCTGGATTCAGCTCTCAAAAAGCAAAGAATCCATCTGATGTGTCAATAAATACCAAATTGCCAAAAACCAGCCAACCAACCAAACAAAAATACTTTGATGGATGAGAGATATATAAGAAAGAGCAGTTTCAATGAATGATTCCCAGAATCAAGTGAATCCTCCACTAGTCCAATGAGATGAGGTCTGGAATGTTAGGTTACATCCTCTGCTGGTTAAGATCCCTGTCTCATTCCTGCTTTTGAATGAACTGACATGAGTACTGCTTTCATGGGGGCTGGTGGTGGTGACAGACATACTGTGTGCTGTTAAGGGCAAGGTGAGACTATCTAAAACTATAGGAGGATAGTGTTGAGGATCAGCTGGAATAGGGGAGTAAAGAAAGTCCGGACGCGATGACATGTTTGGTACTGGCAGGTGGTGGAATGATACTGAATAGTCTGTTAATGAAGGTGAAATGGTAGCAGGATCAACTGCCACCATGGGTCTCACTGGACACCCTTGCAGAAGATGGCTGAAACATGAGAACATCTTTGGTTGGGCTGCTTTGTGGTAGTGATAAAAAGATGCATTTCTTTTTGGCAGGAGGGTCTTGGTCTTCATCAGAAGAACTTTCTATTGCTAGATCAATCACATCCACCTTCTTCTTGCTTGCTTTACTGGCTACCGTCACTGAACAAGGCTTACTGAAGACACTTGGAACCTTTTATTTTTGTGTACAATTGGCTGGATACTTTCATAGCTTCTTTCTTTGGCCTCAAGATGACACCAAGAACTGTCATCTTGGAATTTGAATTCATCTTCATCAACACAGTCATTCAGGATTTCTATAAAATCAGACTTTTATAGTTAGCTTTTTTTGTCATACACAGGACATATCCAGGTGGGCTTCTTCTCATTCATTTGTAGATGCAGGGCAGCATCAAAACACTGAAGATGTGTACAAGTCACTGTACTGCATGGGATCAACAGCCTCATTTTCCCTTAATGGCATATAAAGGATACCTGGAGAGTAGTTGTAGCAGTTTCACTATGAGGCTCTATAGTAAGTTTTCCTTTAGTGCTCTGGGATGATCAGGGTTTCTAATACCTTTCATTTTTTATCTCTATGATTACATGGCTGATGTGAGCTGTCATAAAAGATTCACAGACATGGAGCAATTCTTTCCAGTTTTGGATGTCTAAGTATTAGAAATGTGATTTGGCATAGCTGAAGGCAGCCTAAATAAATGAAGGTGTGGTATTCCAGGGGCACTGTCTGTCAGTTCCACTTTTAGGCTGTGGTGCATAGTGAGGCAAGGGAAATGGCTTCCCATGTCCTTTTATACATGCGCTACTGGGATGGCTATCTTCCTGAGGGCGATTTGTCTCCCAGGCAGTGTCACTTGAACTGGGATGCATTAATCTTTCCTATCATCAGGCAGGAAATGCCTTGATACATATATTTTTCCTACTTGTTGAGGTGTCAAAGCAAAAATAAAAAACTTCTCTTGGCTCTTGAAACTATTGAATACTACTTTGAACAGTTGGGCTTGATGAGAACATCAACAATATTATGAAAGGCAGGGATTTTACCTACACATAGAATGGACAGGAGGAGTTAGAAGAGATGGTTGCTACATCTGAAATGTAGGCTCAGGGTTAGAAGCAACACAGTACCGACAGGAGACAATGGTAAGTGAGTATAACTGAAAGCAGAAAGAGTAAGTGGATTCCAGCCATGGCAAATGAGGCTCTACAGGTGGTGGACTACAAATAGAACACCGATGATTTGATGTGGATAAATGAGAAAATCCTTCAGGACTCTGGATTTCAGTGCCATATAGTTCTCAGATTGTCATCTGAACTGCAGGGCTGCAGCTGCTCTTCAGTAATTGTGCTACCCTCATCACAAGGTCATGCTTGTGTCCACTTTTATTCTATCCAGCGAAGCCTAGCAACAGTTACAGCTCAGAAACCCTAAAACTAGAAGCCATATTCCTCAACTCTTCAACATTGCCACTTACACCACCTTGGTGTTTTGGTGCTGCCTCTTTTTCCAGTGTTGCCGCCTGTATGCGTCCTGTTGGCACTCTCCCTTCTCAGTACCCAGCTCCTGGACACAGTGTTAGTGTAGCATTGAACACAATTGTTGTAATTGTGCCACCATCCACTGACATCCTCTAGTGCAGTTGATACTTATGTAATTGTTGGTGCTGAGGGAGGCGTTGTCAGGTTGGTTTAACTTGTTTGTATACATAGGCTTGAGTATGCACAGCCTTTTCTGGAAGAACATACAGTAAACTGACAGTGGTTGCCCTTGAGGACAGGGACCTGGATGCATCTTCAGTACTTTTAAAATTCAGAACATCCATGTCTATGATTTATTTAAAAGAAAATTTAATGTGTGGAAGGTTGATTTTGATGAAATTCAGCTTTACTGAATTTCTGTACTTACTGGGATTGCATTAATAGTCTTAAAGAAGATGTGTCAGGTGCAATTTTTTTTTTTTTAATGATACTGGAGTTTCAACTCAGGGCTTTTAGAAAAATTTGGTGTTCTGTGGTCCCAAAGTGAGAATAACAATTTCAAATTTTTTCTCCTTCTTCAGACTTTTGATAAAATTCTTATTGCTAATCGAGGAGAAATTGCATGTAGGGTGAGTAGAATTTGAATTATTTTCTCTTTATTCTAGGAAATTTATTAAATCCCCTTAAATATGAAACTGTTAATAGATAAATAACATTAATGTATTTTAAATAGGTTATCAAAACTTGCAAGAAGATGGGCATTAAGACGGTTGCCATCCACAGTGATGTTGATGCTAGTTCTGTAAGTAGTTTCTATTTATTTTTGTTTAGTTTAAATAAGGAGCTAGTTTTGGGTCTAGGAGAACAAAAGTTAAATTTGTTTTATTTTTTCTTGGCCTGCAGAAGATATGTTCAATTTTTAAAAACTATTTTAACTGTTCACTGTTGTACTAGGTAAAACGGAAGTATGACAATATAATCCAGAAGTGTCTTAATTACTTTTTTCAAAGCTCTAAAAACCTAAAAAATATTAAAAAATTGCCAGGCCAATTGCTGGACAGCAAGTTGATTTAAGGAGAGTATGAAAAAGTTAGATTTATAATGTTTACACAGTGGTCACTTATGAGAGCACTTTTCCCCAGCATTCCTCCAGTGTCACTGCGGGAATGACATGATTGTTTAACCTTTCCAAAGTGTGTTAATGTGTTCAGCTGAAAGTTTGATAAATGAGAGAGAGATAGCCTGATGCTAATTGGATCTGAACAAAAGAAGGTATAGCATAAAGCATTGAATGATACATAATTTTATTTGGCATTTTTAACACAGCAGGCACTTTTTAGCAGTAATGAGCTGTGAATGAATAGGAAAAAAATCCCATGGGAAAAGAAGGTAAATTATTAGAACTTTATGAGATGTAGTTGCACTTTAATGCAAGTTACTGTTTTTCATTCTTTCATCCTACTTTTGATAAACAGACCTTTGGTAATGTCAGTTTTTACAAAGAGTTTTCCAATTTGGTGATCTTTAAAATGAACTGTTGCTCATTTTGTCTTACTGTAACTGTCTTCATTTTTAAAAAACAAAATGGAAATAATTGCAAACTAACTTCCTGAAAATGAATGTTAACTGTGTAATTTATTTGACAGGTACACTTAAAATATCTTTTAATGAGAAGCAATTAAATATGTTTTGCATATGTACTATTTGATTTTTTAAGAAAACTTTTATTCTGGCTTCTTTGCTAAAATTTGTTTTAACTATGATAGTTTCAGTAGTAATTTACATTCCGGACAAGATATTTATGAAATATTGAGAAAACTGTTACTTTCATTACTCTTAATTCTTCATTGGTAATCTAGATACTTATCAACAATAAGGCCATCTAGAAAAAGTTTGTTAAAGTCATCATCAAATTAGTAATTGATTTAAAATACATACTTTCATGTTTATTTTCAGTGTATGAGCTCATGAGAAGTTTTCACCCGTGGATAAATTGAGAGAAAAAAAAAGTTTGAATTGTGGATAGCCACTGTTTTTATTTCAAGTCTGCTTAGTTACTTTTCACTTATTACTTTTTCCATATTAAAATATAGTTAATTCTTGCTGGGCACCTATGGTTCATGCCTATAATCCTAGCTACTCAGGAATCAAAGATCAGGAGGATTGTGGTTCAAGACCAGCCTGGGCAAATAGTTCTTGAGACCTGATCTTGAAAATACCTAACACAAAACAGGACTGGTGGAGCAGCTCAAGTTGTGGAGTGCCTTCCTAGCAAGTGTGAGGCCCTGAGTTCAAACCCCAGTACTGTAATAAACAAAAACTCGTATATATGCATATCTCTAGATATTTAATTTTCTATGTTATGTTCTCTTAGAAGTGACTATTGGTAAAAATAGTTGAAAGTAATTTATATTTTGATTTTTTCCTAAATACTTAATATTTCAGAGTTGGTATTATAGAATCTACTTCTGTAAGGTGTTGCCCCAGATAACATGGCTAACTTTCCCATTCTTACACTTCTGGCTTTGCATTCTGATCTCTAGAGGTAGACAGTTACTTTTTAGACTTTGTAAAACTAGCTCCAAAAGAGTTACTGTAAGTTTTAAGTCTTTCTTACACATATCTTTTCTAATGCGTATGTGATAGTTTTATATTTTACAGACTTTAATTTGGTCAGAAAGTAGTAGTGAATAAATCAAGAATTATAATATATAATCTAAAATATGATTTGCCAGGCCCCACATTGGAAGCATTGCATTCTTAGCCAAAACTCTACAGAAGGGCCAACTCAGAGAAAGCTATTTGGTTTTTGCTTCATTCTCAAGAAGACTGAAAAGGTATTCCCCAATAGCATTTTTTGCTTGTTCAACACATGATCACAGAGGTTTCCATCATATCTAATCAGCTTTATAATATCAGTAAGAAGAACAAGCCATGCTGTTCAGATGTATTGTTAAGTATTTGTCTTAAGAGGTGAGCATTTAAAATGTAACTTATAGTAAAACTTTACATACTTTATGTGCTTTATATATTAATTCCTAAGCATGAATGTACTATTGTAGGAAAATACCGCAATGGTTGATTTGAATCCTATCCATTTATGTTAAAAACAGCTTGTTTTTAGTTAACTAACTTGGTATAACTTATTACACAAGTTAAGTAATAAGTTATACAAACAAGGAAAGCCCATTGCACAATTGGTGTTTAATGGAAAAAGTAGCCTTTTAAAGGTGAACAATTGGTGTTTAATGGAAAAAGTAGCCTTTTAAAGGTGAGTATTTAGTTCTCTTTTATCAGGCCCTTTCCCTCAATGTAGTCTTCACAATTCTTTTTAGTATTCTTTGCTCTCCTGTGTGAATTTTAGGATGAGTTTGCAAAGCTGTCTTCATGTCCCCTCATCTGTGTCCCCCTGCCACGCACGGTTTTTACTTACTACATACAAAGCTCCTATAAACATACTTTTATAGGTCTTTTTGTGAGCATATACTTTTATTTCTCTTGGGTAAATGCCTAGGAGGGAGTTTCTACATCATTTGTTAGATGAGGTGTTGGCAGCCTCTTTCTGTGTGGAGAGTAAACTTATTTTAGACTTTACAGGCAGCTAGGTGTCTGCTAGTGTTGCTCTTCTTCCTTTTCTCCTCCCCTTTTCCTTCCTCACCTTTAAAAACATGAAAGCTATTCTTAGCTTGAGGGCTGTACAGAAATAGTCCTTGGATTAAATCAGGTGGACAGCATTAACTCTTGAAAGAAATAAGTGCACATTTAAGTGTGTGAGAAACTCCTGAACACTTGTCTGGTGCAGTAGTACTGTTAAGTACCTTATTCCACTCCCACCAGCAGTGTAGAAAGTTCTTGATTGGAAAACTAAGGCATTTGTCAGCTGTAAGCTCATTGATTGCATTTGTAGTCTTTTTAGCTGGCAAGAATTCTGTTGATTGTCGTCTTCTTGAAACTGAGGTTTTTTTTTTTTGGTGGTACTGGGGATTGAACACAGGGCTTTGTGCAAGTACTGCACCAAGTACTGCAAGCTTGTTGCATGCTTGTCAACACTTGGTGGTCCTTTTGATTTTTGCTGTTTTCATTGTGCTTTTGATTTAGATTCCACTGATGAATGCTGATACTGGATGCCTTTTCTTATTCTTGGCCGTTCATTTGTATTCTTTTCTGAAGTGTTTGTTCAAATATAATGAAACAATTGAAAAAGTAGTACACTAGATTCGAGTGTACTTTTCACCAAGATTCATCACGTGTTAACATTTTGCCATAGTTGCTTTCTATCTCCGTCTTGTATTGTGTATGTCTTTTCCTTTTTGGCCAAAGAATTAAAAAAATAAGTTACAGACATTGTGTCATTTCACCCTAAATACTTTAGCCTGATCTCTCAGGAATAAGGATATTATCCTATGTATCTATAATACCTTATCAAATCTTAGGAAATCCTACTGATTCTGTGATGTCTTTTAACATGCATACCATATTAGGTTTACCTCATTGCTCCCAAATGCCTCTTATAGCATATTTCTTTGATTCGCAGTCCAGTCAAGTTTCACAGATTATATTTGGTTATTATATCTCTTTAGTCTCTTATCTTCCTTTTTTTTTTTTTGCTTGATGTTTTTAGAAATCCAGGCCAGTTGTCTTACAAATACTCTGGGTATATCTCATTATTTCTTCATGAATACATTTAGGTTAAATATTTTTGACCGGAATACTTCATAAGTGATGTTCGTTCGTTTCTTTTTTTTTTTTTTTTTTGCTGAGACTGAGCCTCATGCTTGCTAGGCAGGCGCTCTACCATTTGAGCCACTCCACCAGCCCTTTCTTTGTGATGGGTGTTTTTTTGAGATAGGGTCTTACCAACTGTTTGCCTGGGACTCAGTCCTGTTGATCACTGCCTCCTGAGTAGCTAGGATTGCAAGTGTGAGCCCCTGGTGCCTGCTGGTGCTGTTTCTTATTGTATCCTATCAAGAAGTTGACAATGTTGGGAATTATATCGGTTCTGCAAGGTTTAATCATTTGGTTTTCATCAGGTCATACTGTTATGGTATATTTTTTCTTCTTTTTTCATTAAAGAGTTTGTAGGGTGAATCTTTGAATCCATATGAATATTTTGACCCCAGCAATCTCTCCAATAGTTTACATTAATGAAAATTGGCTAACTCAGTGAGAACTGAGCATTTGTCTTCTTTGTTGTCTGTTAAGAAATCTGTTTTTCTTCTCCCTTTTTAAACTGCCTTTTTTTGTGGTGGTGGTGTTCCAACCGAGGGCCTTGAGTAAGTATTCTGCCACTGAGCTTCATCCCCAGCCCTTGTGTTTACTTTTTCTTTTCTTTTCTTTAATCTTTTTTCCTTATGTTTTTAAATCCTTCTTTCATCTCTTATTATTATTTTGAGTTGTTAGATGTCTGATTCTATTCTTGATTCTTCTTCATGATGTATTATTTCTTTACATGTTTAGGTTTTGCCTTTTGACCTCATAGTTGGTATCTTTATTGTTGGATTTCAAGATGGGTTGGGTTGCAGAAATGACCTGGTAATATGGGTGTTATATTTGTTTCTGTCAGGCACTTCAGGGAGGGTATCACTGGTCTGGCAATACTTTTTACATTCTTGGTGTGAAGGTTTCCAGATTATTAGGATAGTGGGAAGAACAAAGTGAGATTATATACGCACACATGCAATAACAGTCCACCTGTTGAATTGACCCATCTCTTGCCAAGATTGGCTGTAGTATTTGCTGTTGTGGAGACAGTCTGGTTTTTAGCTTCCTCTTTTCTTTCTTTTTTTTTTTTTTCTTGTAGTG